GATAATTTTCTGTTTCTCAAGCGTTAGGGGAGACTAATGTAATAAAGGAAGAAGACGTTGTCCTTGGCAATTTTTTTAACTTTCTAATTCACTTTCATTTTTTTTAACGCGTTTCTCAAATGTAGTTAATCCTTGTCGCTTGTCTGTAGTCTCAGAATTTTCGACGATTTGTACTTGAAGAGGAAAACCCGTACGAATATTATCAAAAACACACTCATTTGTCATTTTGACCTCTAAACCAGTGATGCAAAAATAGATCGAAGATTCTGGCCTTTTCATGAAAAATCTGATGTTTAGATGTGAAAATGGTTTAACAAACGTCTAGAGAGTAAGTTTTGTATGTTGTTGGCACTAAGCATAGTAGTTGGCAGAATCCATCTTTGATTTGATTTGCCTCGACATATTTTGTAAGCCTCGTCAAACAGACTACGTGACTTCCTGTTTTTCAACTCATGACCTCATGCTTCAGTTATCTCGTGCTGTGCATTTTTCTTGTTGTTTTTCGTTGTGTACTAATCATTTTTGCTGACGTCGTTTAAATTGTTTTGCTTTTAAAGAAAATTTCAAAGCAAATTTCAGCTAATTTCCTCCCTTAAGTCATAAGCATGTCTTCGAGTCAGAGTACTTTCGGCGTGCAGGCCTAATTGGAAACGTTCATAAGAAATGCTGTTTTCTCCTTTATAAAACGTGGGATTTAACACTTTCGTTAGGCGCTTTGGGTTTCTCTTGCTTGAAGTCTGTGGAGGTTAAAGAGGAAGAGGGGAAGGGGGTAGCTTTTAACCATGATTACAAAGTATCATTGGAGTAGGCTCCTCTTCGAAGTATTCTGGCACGAGAGAAAAAAGTGGGCAGTATGATCCACATACATATGCGGTCACATATATATGGTCGTTTTTCTCTCAAAACTTGGTAAAATTTTCATCCTGGGGTTCCTTAATCCCAAGAGACTAACATATGTTTCTTTCTGTCTGTTTAGAGAGAGCTTCTCTGTTAAAAACGGGAAAACTTAACCGGGTTACACGGAGTATTTAAAAAACTCCGCTGTTTAATAATTCTGTCACTAGAATCCTGTTGTTTCTTCCTCTTTTATTATTCTTTAGGCCAGCCCAAGGTTACTCTTTCGTTTGGCCCATCTAACGTCGAAAAGGAAAAAAATATCACGCTGCCAGAATGCCACGTGACTAGGTTCCCTTCAGCGGTGATCACGTGGTCTAAAGTGCACGGTAAAATAGAGCAAGGCGGAGCTGTTCTGAAAGGTGGACAACTGTCGTTACTGAATTGACAGAATAAAGATTCTGGCATTTATAAATGTATGGCATCAAATCAATTAAGGCAGGCCTTAGCCGTTACGCATCTTAGCGTTGTACAACTGCCCAAATTTAGTGTGCGTCCTCCTTCAGATCTAGACATACTCAAGCACCGCAACGTTTCAGTCTCTTGCCAGGCCAAAGGCGACCCCAAACCAAAAGTGACGTGGGTTAGAGAAAATAGTGAGCTACCATTTGGAAGATCGAAGGTCGATGAGGATGGAACACTTCATATCTGGAATACAAAGAAATAAGACTCGGGAAAGTTTACCTGCGTAGCGTCATCAGCGGAAATTTTTAAGGCATTCTCTGCAATGCAGCTCTCGGTATCATGTAAGTGGTTAAACTCTAAAGTAGGTCTGAAAGTATTTATGAAGTTTTGTGAGCCTTTTGCGTTCACACTGGTATCTTACAGACTCTGCAATAAGTTGCATAAAGACAGGGCTCCAATACTCCTTTCATACGCAGTGACAAAAGGAAGTATTCCCTGTGATTCTTTTCTTTTTATTTGAGGTAATCATGATGATAGCAAGATTTATGATAACATTTTAAAATAGTGACGATGAAAATGATCATGACAGTGATTGTGACGGTGACGGTGGTGATAAATGTGATTGTGGCCGTGATAGAGGTCACAGATCTTGATATAATTTTCAGAAGAAAACTGGTAAATGAAAAATGTTGTTGATATCTGTGCTAGCAGCGTGTCAGGGTTAAGTAGTTTCAAGAGTAATGATGAAGTGTCAAGTAGTCCTTGATAGGCCCGGGTGATCAAACATAAGTTAGAGGGAAAAGAAAATACTCTTGCCACAGTAGTCTGTTGGTACTGAGTTTCCGTTTACTCGCGAGACTGATGACGTTGATGAATGAGAAAGGCCAACTTTCCCTGACCTTTCTTAGGACTTAGTGAGATGTGCTCATCAAAATCAATAATATCAATTTGGTGTTCATTTGTCAGATGTTTGCCAGTAACAGAGTGATACAACTGCTTTTGTTTTCTGTCTCTTGACAATGATATCACGACGACAGTTTAGGAAATGTAGTGCGTTTCTAACTTTTTTTTGATATGTGCTTTTCTCGGATGTTCCGCAAGATTAAAGAAATAAATTCCCATCCTTTGACCCATTTGCTTTGTGTAGTTTATTGCTTTGGGTAAAGATGAAACCGTTGGTTCTTAAACTCAAGTGTACTGAGCCTGTTTCCTTCCACAAACATAGGTGATTTTTTTTCTATGATGCATTTTCGTTGATACAGAGATAAAGACAATTATCTAGGTCATTTTGATTTCACTAAAGAATGTTTCCAATTTTCTTGACCAGCATGTGAAGCTGTAGGCGTAGAGGACAGTAACATAATCCCTGATAGTAGTAGAATGACTGCAAGTACAATGTTCAACATGGGTTTTAGACCGTCCTACGGCCGGCAAAATGGACAGAGGGGTGGTAAAGGTTGGACCCCAAAGACTACAATTAACAGTTCACACTATCTTCAGGTTGATATGGGTGAAGTGCGATATGTCTGTGCTCTGGCGACTCAAGGGAGTGGAAGATATATTGACTGGACTACCAGTTACAAAATACATCTTTCAACAGATGGAGTGATTTGGAAAACTTACATGGAAAATAACTTTGATAAAGTGAGCAAATTCTAAATTGTCTAATTTCTATATTCCTGTAGGATCTGTATCAGCTATTTTGCGGTAGCTGTCTAAGTGATCAGAGCGAAACGAACCAATCTTGCTGGACGAATTTAACGATTTGATTTGTCTAAATCTTTTAATCGCTGCCTAAACCTGAGTATGGATTGCTTATCTCTTCTATTTCCTCAGCTTCCATAGGATGACCATTAGGTAATATCTTGATGATGCATTAGCAGCTCCCTGTAAGTAGTTTGGAGCCTACACGGCGTGTTCGTTAGCTACCAAATTTCTGTTTGGCCTATGAACTATTTGCTCCTGCTTCATTTAGAACTATGGTATTCCTTAGAGTCTGCTTTTTTCAAGTATGTTGTAAGCTCCACAATTTTCTCTTCTTTGGCAGGTATTTCCAGGAAATGCAGACCGAAACAGCATCGTGAAGAATTATCTCACTTCTGCCATTAAAGCAAGATATGTTCGGTTTTATCCAATAAGATATGTCAGATATCCAACGTTGAGAGTTGAAATTTTTGTGTTGAAATAACCTCCGCAATTCGAAACGCCACTGAGCCGACGGTTTGTTCAGAGTTTCCGCTGATTAATGTATTTTGTCATTTTAAGACCGCGAGGTAAAGGGGGATTAGGCAGATTTGAATAAACGAATGTGATTACATTAGATTTCGACTCCGGCCCAAAACAATCAAAGTGCTAACTAGTGTATTACTCTGAAATGAATTTTTGGATATCACCAGGGCGAGTTTTTATAAATCATTAAATGTACAGCCTAGTTCTCTTGTTAAACTATTCCTTTTCAAATAGCTACATGTGTTTTCATTGTTACAAGTACGCGATGCATCTATATTTATTTTGTTAAGTCTTCCTTCACGCTGATATGCAATTATTTCTCCCACATCCTTCAAGTTAACGTTCCTGGTGGGGCTGGTGTCGACCATCAGAACAGAGGAGCTCTGAACAAACTGAAGATAGCGTGTGTTTTTTCCACGTGATCCTCCAAAATCCCCGTCCCACCCAGACGGTAAATAATGACCGGCCCCATATTTAATCATTATGAGAAAAGTTTCTCCCAGACTTCAATCAGAACCTTATTCAGCACAGTCAGGTACGTTAGTTAAAAGTAACGTGCGAAAATCAAATCATTAGTGCCGCGAAACTTCTGTCTAGCTAATTTATTTTTACTCGCACGACAATAAAAGCCAATGAGGAAAAGGAGATGCTCCTAATTTATGGAGAGGACTGAGGATCAGTGCGGGAGACTGGTAGCAAAGAATGAAAGACTGAGCCCAAGATTCGCTTTAAGGATAATTATCTACATGGGGTTGGGGGGGAAGCTTCTAGAGAAACTCTGGTGCTGCGTCAATGGGCAGCATCACAAGACAATTTGGGGTTTATCAACTGAGTTGATTGTGTAAATTGGCCACCGTAGAGAGTTTCTAAAGTTGACATTTTGAGCTTTAGCTCATCGTCAGAGATAAGGATGAAGGACTAACGCTTTCACGTCAGCTGTAGAAACTCTCCACGGAGGCTGCTTTACACAATCAACTCAGTTGATGAAACCAAATTATCATGGAGCCCTCTCGTTCTCAGCGACATACACTCGTCTAACGAATCGAAGGGGTTGTCTTTTAAAATTGATTCTTTCCATCAAGAGAGGCAGTTGATAAAGGCCTGCAAATTAGTAAAATACTACACGCACCAAATAAATATCTTTAAGTTTCTTGTTTGTCGTGGACGTGACCAAGAACTTTCATTCATAAAAATAGTTGCAGCTGAAGGATTTCTGCTTAGAATGAGATTCTTCTGAAACTGTCTCCGCCAGATATGCTTACATGAAAACTTTCTAAGTTTTCGGTTTACGCCCGTTCAACAATTCCTGTTTGCGACATTTTTGGCAAAATATATTACAAATAATTCATTATTTGTTATGGAACTGCATTCATGATGCAAAAGTTTAATTCAAAGAGTATTGTTGGATCGAGGATGGCCAGGACCAGAAGCGTATGCAGGGGACATCACACTGCTGTACTATGAACGTTAGGGCCTTTCATTAATTCTCGTGTACCATTCAAACTGTTCATTAAGAACTTATGTAAATGCACTTGACCCCTGAAGGGTCCTGCCAACTTCCCGAGTGAGCTACCTGCCATTGTACAAATGCAGCATCTCAGGTCTTCTTTCTTATTCATAAGAAAAACAATAACGTAGGCGGTATGCTTATTATACGTAAACTACACTCTTCATTGATGATTTCCAGCGATGGATATTGACAATTTTGATATAGGTTTAGTGCAAATAAAACAGCTAGTATTTCAGCTTTTTAAAGGACGCATATGATAGTTGTCTTGTCTCGCGAGCTTTCACTGAAGCTAAAAGTATTACTCTTGCACTGTCATTACAACATTTGGCAGTCAAAACGACTTCCCCGCATCAGTGAATAGTCTGCTTGATAGCATGAAAACTGAGTAGTGTTATCATAGAAGACGTGGTTACTTAGGCCAGAACCAGCTCTTTCAGCTTTCAGAATTTATCTTCCTCATTTACCGATTAAACGGTCCAGCCAAACAATTTTTGAAAAACAAAACAGCCGATTGGACTCTATTGTTAGCAATTTGATTTGAATCCACAGGACATAGGACAGTACAGGACGATGGATATCTCAGACATTAACTTGTACTTCTTCTGCTGGAAACCAGCTGTTCACGGACGCACTCCGTTCTACTTCGATTTTGGCACGTTCAGAACCCTCCGGGGACTTCCTTGGGCTGTCATTAGGATCCACTTGTAATGAGTCCCCCTTCCTTAGGCTGTCATCAAGATCCATCTGTAGTGAGTCCTTTCTCCTTGGGAGCAACATGGGCGTTATGGACCGCGGAGGCGTCCAGTCAATATGGGGAAGAATCCTATTTTTTCTTTGGGGCAGAATGGGCAGAATGGGCACACTGGAGTGACTGCTTCCAGCAGAATTCGGCCTCGAATTAGACTCAAAGTCTTTGATTTTGATAAGTGGAACTGTGAAATTGCGACTAACTTTTTCCTTATCTGCAGGCTGCGAGGTTTCCGGGCTATTATCGTTCTCCTTAGGATCTTCTGAAGTAACAACCGACTGCATATTCGATGATGGGGTTTCACTCCTCGAGAACTCAGTCAGCTGGGTTGAGGAACTCTGAACACTTTCCTTGTCGAAAAGTCTTTTTCTGAAAATTTTCATCAGGAAGAAGAAAACCACGACTGCTATTATGAAACAGACGAGAAAGGTGACAGTCACAGAAATGCCGATAGCGGTAGATACTTGAGAGCCTGCAGTGCCTAAAACCGGACGTGCTGTTTGTGTAAAAGAAAACGAGAAAAAACTGTCAGTTTGTAACAAATGAATTCTTAAAATTGAATAACATTTTCTATTCATCCGCAGATACCAACTTCAATTAAAGGAGCCCTTTTGTTTAAGTCTCGTGAAAATCTTTAGCAGGTGCAGCCGAATCGCGTCAGTAGAGACGTTGAGAGTTTGATGGTTGCTCGGAAAGTCGTTCGCATGATTAAACCATAAACTCTAATAAGTGACCAAGACAGGATTTCTCCTTACAAGTTCAATAAAATACCAGGCAGGCAAGTGATGAGAATAAAGAAAATATCAATTAGGGGATTATTGGTTGATCCGGCCAATACCAAATTCTCCAAACCAACATAATAAGAACTGTATGGCAGACAGTAAAAGGGTTGAAGCTGTAATTTATTATAAGGAAAAATGGTGCAGGGTGCAGGAAAAGGGGGATGGGAAATGCGCATATAGTTTTCTTGTATAGCAAAAGTTGTTACGTTTCGTACTTTCCGTCGTCGTAAAATTCTCCATCACGGCGGTGGTTGTTCCGGGACTAGTAGTTGTTTCTGCATTCTTTCTTATAGAGAAAGTCTTGTGCAATCGTTGAAGAGATTGTATTCCTCCCTGACCACTGACGCCATTTTTGGAAATCACAGATATATTGTAGACCGTATCTGAGTTGAGACCAGTTATCGTCACTTGGAGCGAGGGTAGGTCTACAGAACCAGGCCAGAACTGTGCACCGTTACAATATTTTGAACATGAACCAGAGTTTGAGCAAGTAGTACATTGAACGTCGTATTTAACGTCATTACGCCCTCCGTTGTCTGCAGGCGGAGACCATGCAACCACCACAATGCTGTCTGTAAGTTCTGTGATGTTGATATCTTTGGGCTCTGAAGGAGGGGCTAATAACATAAATACAGTTGTATTACTTTCTAAACAAATCAAAAGTGTGTTGTATCAGTATGATGATTTATGATATGTATGTCAGAACGCTGCTCTGTTTTCTTTTACTTAATTCTTTTCATGCAACGTTAGTTTCAAATGCAGGGATGATTCTTTAATTGGTTGGTTTTGCGGATAGCCAGGATGGTGAACAGATGATATTTTGTAGGATCTACCGAAAAGATCTGGAACTGACGTTTCAAAAATTAATCTGGGTGCAAGTCAACGACAGAGTCAAGCAATCCTTACCAGTAAGAAACCGTCTACAATTAGCACTTTCCTACCTGTGCAATCATCACTCACAGCATCCTCAGGGGCCCTGTAAAATCCATTATTGCAGATGCAAGAACTATGATTAGGATCAGGTGCACTGTTAGCAGGACATGTAGCACAAAAGTCATTACCAATTGACGCTTTATATCGGCCTGTCTGGCATCCTGAAAAGCACATTTACAAATAAAATTCAGAAAGAAATAAATTGACAGCTGAATTTTGAGGTCGTTAGAACCAAATAGACTTGGAAGGAGCTGCGTTGCTATAATTATTTCGGGTAAGTTTTTAGGCAGAACAAACTACATAAACTTGAAATAGTTTTCGATTTATGAGTTCGGGAAAAAAAGAGAAACGCACAAGAGGTAATAAAAAGCAAAAAAAATGAATAAGGAGTACAGCTGATGGCTGGTGATAAAGAAGATTAAGACAAATTGCGAATGATAGGGTCGAAAACTGTTTGCTTTGCATTCAAGATTCATTAGCTGTGACTTAATCGCGTAAGGAGAACCAACAGTAAATTTTCCAAGGACTTTTAAGACAAGCACGGTTGTGAAGGGTGCACAAAGAAAATAAAGCTAAATTTTTCTAGAACACTACATAGGGGGTTGTAACAGATGAATATCGGAACTTGTATAGGTACACTGCTAGACCAATTTCGATGTCTGAGAAAATTAATTTAAATTGTCAGAGGAAAACGTGGATGTGCAAAGAAGGGCGTATTTGAAAACAAAAGTCCCTCTTACCGACGCACTTGTCTCCCACTAATTCATATCCAACTGAACATTGACATGTGACCTGACTGTCCATCATCCATTGACCAGAACTAAGACACGTAACAGAGAGTGTGCTGTTGCTTGGATATGGCGATGCCTTTTCAGAACAGTTGCCTTTGACAGTAGTGTTTTGCTGGCTCGACGAAGGCGCAGCAATCTTTTGGAAGACAATTCCCTGATTGACAACTGTTGGACAGTATAAGTATGACAAAGTAACAGATGTAAGCGATAGGCAGGCGCCTGTGTCTCGAAACCCAAAGTAGATGCCGAAACTATTAACAGCTAAAGTCAAATTAACTTGATTGACTTGGGAAGGATCCTGTTGCGTCCAAAGATTGGTGGCATTGACGGTTTCCACAAATGTGAAATTACCGGATTCAATATCGCGCTTAGTTACGCCACTTGCAAAAGGCCCTTCCGTTTGAAGCGCGTAAACGCTGAAGCTCTCTTTGCAAAAGTTAAGTTCAGCCGGACACTTTCCAACCATGAATGTAAGCCCGAGTCGAACTTCGTTTGCTCCCTGCAGGTCAACATACTCTGAGATCAGCCAGCTGTTTGTATGATTAGTTCTCGTTTCTGAAAGATCGCACACAGCGTAAGATCCACTGATTCCATCCTGGGACCACTGAAATCAAATAAATATAATATCACAACGATACTCTTTGAAATAATCATGTTGAAAAGAAGAAATAAAGCTTCGACGACACTGATCAATAAACAGTTACTAAAAAAGACTAGATAAAAAAACTGTCACAGAAAGATTTAATTTTTTTTATTGTATAAATGTAACTCGTAAACGGGAGGTTGGAAATCTTTTCGCGATAGATTGCCAGGCCGCTAACAATTTAAATTTGCGAAGGATGAGCCCTATGCTCAGAAATCTTGAAAGGACCGTCTCGAATAAGTCTCTTGGCCAGGATAAAACGCCGCGTTGACCGGCCATGGACAGCCACGAATATAAGGGAACAGGGTGGGTCGAATTAGCATGATGAATGAATGAAGCTTTGTAAGATTTTTACCAATAAATATTGCTGACTTATCAGCCTGCTGGTATGAAATTAATTTGTTATTTTCTACTTAGTTATCTTTTATTCTCTTTCAGGCACCATGTTAACTAGACATCGATTGGTCTTTCAGCTAAATAGTTTTGTTCTTTTAAGCGCAGTTACTATAATCACCCAAGTAGGACCTAAGATTTAAAACCTCGAAAACTTTGCGTTTTGATGAACTGGAGGGTACTTGAGGTCAGCTCTCCTTGTTGGGATCAGATGGTCAAACAGAGTCAAAGACAGTTCATCGATAAGTTTTCGAGGTCTTAGAACTTTGGTCTTAGTTATTGAGACACCCGTGTAGCTTTGCATCGTGCCGGAAGAGGTTAGAATGTGTTTACCACCCTTGAGGCTAATTTTACTTTTCTGTGAGGGAATAACGTACATGCCGCGATCCACACATACTAGTGTATTGTGTAAATACACCTAGCTATGAGTGAAAAACACTTTCAAGCTAGTTTTCAAGTATGAAACAGAAGATATACAAAACAAATATTGTTGCTGTTGTTGTTTTTAAAAAAACATTGTGATCAAGATAGACTTAGCAGGTCTAATTTTCTTATGTTATTTTAAAAAGCACTGAAAGATAGTGCCGCTCTATTTTTGTCCGGTGTTGAGTTCCAATACGCTGGTGTATGAACGAAGTTCTCTGAAAAGATTATGAAGATCGATTTGTTTGTTCCTAGCTGTTAATTGAGGTGGTGAAGTTTTTTGTTTAAGAGCCATGCTTTGTGTCACTGTTTGCCAACTCAAAAGTAAATTGAGGTAAGTGTGGTGATGACGTTACAGAGGCTCATGTCAGATTATTCATTATGGCCCCATAACGAAACCTGTAGAATATTACAGAATTTTATGATATTATTTTCTAAGACAAGATAAACTCTTTAATACACGTATACGTTTTGGCGAGAACGCACGGAGTTTTAGTAACAAGAGAAAACCAAATACGAATAAGTGCAGTGCTAGAACATCGATGGAATACAATGCTATTACGTAATTCAGTTTTGGCACAAGAAAATCCGAGAGCCTAATTATCACAACTTAAAAGCCCGTTCAATGACAAATGGAATACAAGGGTTTTAGAGTGGGACGGTAGTGGTAAATTACAAGATACAGGACGGATTAACTTCGCATTTGAAACCGATTTCACAGTCATTATCTGGCGCCAGGCTGGCCTCGCAGAACACTAACCCTCCCGACTTCATGGAGCCAAACTATCCGAACGTCGTCCGGAACAATCAGAGTTTAGTTAGTGGTAGGTTTTAACTAATCTTTCAGTCTATTAGCGATAATAAGTCTTAAACGATGCTTTACCATGTCGGGATTACAAGTAGTGGCGATACCATTCATAGGGCAAGTAGTTGTTTTCAACGGCGAAACGATTAAAGAAAATATTTGGATACGTAACCTTTTGGACATGTGAAAATAAACCATTGTTTGCGAATAATTGATCTACGAAAACAGCAATTCTAGAGAATTTACTGGCGCCAGTTAATCAAATCAGCGTCTCTGAATTGCGTCATTTTAGTAAATTCAAAAGGTTCCGATCCCTTTCACTTCATTGATTCATTAAAAGGAGTCTCGTCGAGGAGATGCGAATTGAAAGCATTGTAGCTCGATGGGCTCTAAGTTGATCATGTAGAACGCATGGGTTTATCTACCCTCACGAAAACGTCAAAAGGAAAAAATTGATTAGGTTTACAGAAAAGATTAATATTTTGTATTACCACTGCATTTTTTCAAACTTGGGATTAACCTTTGAGGCTAGAAAGTAAAAGCATTGTGACTTCTTTGGAAAGCAAAAACGCAGTGTAAAAATTAACGTTAACGATTCCTACGCAATCTAAGCGAGTGACCCAGTGCATCCTTGCCCTGTGACATGCTATGGAATCATTCTGTTTCGTTATATTTAACAGTAGGTGATAAACAAATACAGAAGCTGTCAATTGTTATTACAATATGATCAAATCATTCACACTGTAATGGTTCTCCCTTTACTAACTCTAACGTAAGGTATAGCCAGCACTGTATGTACTCTAATTGACTGATGTTTTGTCTTCGAAAACTAAGTGGCTGTAACTGTCTTTTCGTTGTGTATCTTGGTACGTACAAAAAAATAAAAAGAGAGAATCATTGATAAAGAACAAAATAACTAAGCATTCCGGCCTCTATATTCTGTAAAGCAAATATCTCACGCGCTACGAGCTGCGCGCGGGTGGGTAAACTTATTTTCCACGGCCCCATTTGGCTTTGTCGCTCGGTTATTATCGAAACAAACCTGGCTTAGCTATCCGTAAGAAGGCTTGCTTCTTTTTTGATCATTGCGAACTGATCAAACTTGCGCAGATTTTACTTAAGAGCTCGAATTGCACGCTAATACTTTACTGCTGACCAGCGCCCCTTTTTCACTGGAAGAATTTCAAGCACTTGCAAAAAGTCATTGGAGTGCGACTTATCAAAAGCGAAGTTATAGTTCTGGCAAAAAGACTTTAAAAAGGAGTCCACTTCAAAAATTTGATCTCCAGTAAGAGTTTTATAGAAAGTGAGTACGCACGAAAGTTTTTCCAAATTAAATATTCTTTTTCCGCTAAAAAATGTCGGGAATGGCGTCAAGAGTGAAAAGGGTCACTGCATCAGAGAGATAAATAATCCATATTTTCAATGCGTTTTGGATTTGTGTGTTGACGACGAGGCGTTACCAGAATGGACATAAAGGGAGCGGCATAAAAGAGAGCGCTATTATGAAAATACCAATGCACAAAGCTGTGGACTAAATTAATTTTGTTTCCTTACTAAGTAGGGGGTAAGATTCGGTCGTAGAGACAAAAACTGTTGTAAGAAAGAATTTTGCCCTAATAAAATTTTGAACTGATGTAATTCAACTGCCCATCGAGATATCACATATATTGTTGTGACTAAAGGAAAAGGGGTATTTTTTTTCTTTGCAAAAAACTGTCTATAGGTAGTTTGATTTTTTTAATGACGAAACCCTTATCGCAAATGGTGCGGATTTGGGTTGTAGCATTTGAGACAGTTTGTGGGTATGTTACCGAATTTGCGTGCGTTTTGATATAGCTTAATACCAAAGGTTACGAAATCTTCGGAAAGGTGACGTAGCGAGTTATTATATCGACGTCTATCTTCCGAAAGCCAGTATCAGATGGTTTAATTTTCTCATCTATAAGGCCAATTACAAGAAAGCGAAAAGATTAAAGGATTTACAATCTCTGGTGTTTAGATTGGAATTAGTTCCTGTTTAAAAAGGCACAAACTGCTGTTGTATGAATTGTGCTTCGGGCTCAATAGGTTTGGCTAATTAAATTTAAGTTAAATCGCTTGGTATTAAAAGAGTCGACTAGTTCGATTCATCGAAGGGTTCCGAACGCGATTAGAATCATTAGCTTTTCAGATTCGATTAAACCTAACGTTATCTACGGAGACTATAATGACCTCGTGACTGCGATCTAACGGGATCCAAGGACAATAAGCGCAGCATTCTTGTGACAGAACTTGCCGCCTGAAAAGTCCAGAGCAATTGATCACGATATGAAATTAAGTTATGGTCTCGCGAGAGTGGACCCAGCTGATCAAATTCTTTCAAACGAATCTGCTTTCTGATTAGCTTATCGTTAGACCCTTAGAATTTTTTTAGTAAAAGTCAATTTAGCCCCTAGATTGCAAGATCAAGAACTGGTCTTCAAGACATTGCACGCAGCTTCACTCGGAGTAGTTCATGAAGTAATTACGGTCCGACTTGAATTTTTCCTTGCAATTCTGTCCATAAATGATAAAGAGCGAGGCATTTCTTGGTCTTCTTTTGTCATAGGGATATTACTTATTTGCACTTTAGTCATCAAGACAGCATATTTTGTTGCGTCACTGTACAACAATAGAAGAAAGAAGTAGCGAATTTTAATATCGGTGGCCCCGTTAGAAAATGGTTTTCTGTGATTGTGTTTCACAAAAAAATTGAAAGTTTTAGGGGAAAGAGAACCTTCAAAGAAGAACTTCACAATTCATCTTCTTAAGAATTACCGTTTAAACTCGACTAAATGCGTCAAAACGCCGCTTTCAAGCTGTAAATCTTAAATTATACGGATTTGGACTGGCCGCTTTGTGACCATTACAAAGAAATTTTATTACGAACCCAGTGAACATTCTGTGTTTATCACAATACAATAGTACTGCCGAACACGAGGTGTGGAGAACAATTAGAGATGACTATAAAAACTCCGAGGAGGTCTTCTTGGATAGCCTAAAGGCTCGCTTTTCAGTCCTGACTTGTTTAGAGAACTCTTTACGGAGAAGTAAACGGTTCTGCCACTTTGTGAAACACTGAATAAAGAACAAGAAGCTAGAAACGTGTTCGAAAAGTCATCTAAGAACATTTGTTTACGTTCTGTTGCTTGACGATAAACAATGCCTGTCACAGGATAAATGAAAACGAATGAGCTAATCTGTCATATTTTTATTCGTCGAAAGACAAGCATCTCTTCAAGTATTATTTTCAGAGAACGTTTTGGTATTACAAAATTGTCTGGAATACAAGAAACTGAAAGCACTTCGTTCAACTGTTTGTACCTATCCAGTCCCTAAACATGACAGATTTCTAATACGTGAATTAGTACGGGCACGACACGCAATTTAAGGGAGCTCATTTCTTATAACATTCCAGCTAGGATAATAAAATATCCAAATTAACAAAGCGACATGGTTTTCACGGATATTGAGTAAACGATGGAGCTAATAATTGTGCTATCAGAGAATAAAAGAGGGCAATGATTATCCTAAGAGTTGGTTATCTGGTAACATTTATAGCCTAAAATGCATTTGAATATTGGACCCATATGTCAAAAGGGGTTTCATTGGCTAACGCATAGACATAAATTGTAACGAATCAATATTGACCTGTGACCTGCGTATATCACATTTATTTCCTTTTGTATCTATTGGGACAAATGGCAGCCGTACTCGTTGCGACGCTTTGTGAATCAGTTTCCTAAGATACGATAGGTATATGTTTTTTTAATGGTTTGACGTACAAAGAAGTTGTTTAAGGCCGTTGGATTCGGCTCTCAAACTTAAACGTGCTTCCCTCGTATTGCAATAAAAAAATATTGACATTCCATACCGAACCTTAAACAGTGACATGGTACGCAATCTTAAAATTTGGCCTCGAGCTATTCCTATGAAACACGGCCGCCTAGTATCAAATCTCTTGAATTACTAATAGGTTTTCGTTTTTTGTATATATAAAAAAAATAATTTTAATCAGGTATAACACAAGAGAACAAAGCTTAATTGGCAAAATTCTCAACTAGGCCTTAGCCATCCTAAGCGACGTGTGTAACAAGGCTGTGCGAATTTTACAGAAGGGAATAAAATAATTCATTTCGCAGAAGACATAAATTTGCCTATGGCGAATACTCACCCCACTCCATACGCCGAACTCAAAACGGGTCAACCATTGCCAGGAAGAGGGTGCATTTTTGTCTTTATTCAAGAGAACAGCTGAAATTATGATTCAAAAATAAACTAATTAAAACAAAATCTCCTCTCTTGATTAACTGTACACTGATCAGAACTGGTGAAAAACAAAAGTTGCGTTGAAGCAAAGATGAACATTTCTTGTACATACCTCTCTCTGCCATGGCCTTATAATGTGTCAGGCCAATGGAAACAAGAAACACTACTTCCAAAAGTTGTTTTAACTCCTTTGATTTCATATCGGCAATTTCAGCACCTCAAAGCTAAGACTTTTCGCGTCTTACATTCACAAAAGATTTCAACCAAAATTTCCTTAGTTACTGTTATTTTCACGTAGAATTTCACAAATTTTGCGCAACTTTAGTATGCGATCTCTCAACACGCACAGAGAAGGAACACGAATGATTGTCCACAGTGGAGCTAGTCACCATAAGACATACAGATCTTGTACTTAACTCTGTACTTTTGTGTATGCGGATTATGTAAATTAAAAAACCAATAGCTGAATGTAATAGAAAACGTCAAATGGTAAATTGTTTGGAATGATCGATGACGCTGACGTCGTAAGTGGGATGTGAACAAGGTGTCAAAGCAACGTTGTACTGAAATAACCCTGAAATGATACTTTTATTACTTTACATTCAGAATACTCTCTTTAAATTTAGACTGGCCAAAACCAAAGCAAACGGTAAGTTTTCCGTCACGTTTACGCTTAAACGGATTAAGCTAAAGGTAATTATTACGCCATTAAGTGAAAAATTTCCCAAGAGGTTTAAACTCACAAAACTGGCTGAGCGCTAAAATAGTATGATCTGTGCATTAGGCATGGCACGATTTTCGACATAATGAAGCCCACAGACATACGAGAGACGGATGATTTAGGGAAAGACTGAACACTAGGGCTATCAAGTCGCACACCTGCCGAAGACTAACCTGGATTATCTTGCACGAAATAACGGATTAGGAGGATTTTGTTCCTTTAGGATGGGATGCCTAGAGTTCATAACTGATTTACCCCTCCAGTTACTCGTTAGATTTCACTTACATCACAAAGTTACTACTCGATCATCTATATTCCTGGGTAAAGGGAAACACTGTGAATATCAAATGTCTCCACCTTGAAAACCACACGCATCGGCCTAGTCATACACCTGTGGCTGAATGCGCATCTTTCGATTAAGAGTGGGCATGCTACCAAATCATGTGGCCATTGCTTTTCCCAATTTTTCGCTTTTTAAACAGTGTAGAAAAGGATGCTTTTCTGACAATAAATTTCGAGCGTGAACGTGCGTTTTTAAGCTGATTATTTGATCAAAATAATCATAAGTAAAAAGCTACATGATCTCAGTGTAGGTGAAGCGGTCGCTCGGTATTAGGCCATCGAAAATGCATTAAATAGTCGATTACCAGATCAGATAAATTGGAGCTGAAATAATCAAATTATCATGTTTGTCTGCTGATAACTACAGCTCGTGTAACTTGAATTCCTTCTTAATGTTAGAGTTTAAGGGTGGCCTGTAAGTTAGGTTACAAGACACAACACTTGTATTGAAGGTTACATAAAGTGAAATAGTACATTCAGTGAGCCAAGAATTCCTGAGGCCAAAATGATCGAGCCGGACAAGTTCTAGCTATACTAAATATGTAAGATTTTGATCTGTCGGAAGCTGTTTGTATTCAAAAGTCTCGTTCCATTTTACAAGAATACAGTTGTTTGATTGTTTTATTCTTGTTAGCACTGCAGCGTGGAAATGTTTTTATTGTAAAGTGTTATCACCAGTTATTGTTTTGTGAATCAAAATTAAGTCATTTCCAGACCGATAAGAATTTTTACTAAACAAAAGGGCTTTCTTTTTACATCAACAAAGTGAAGTGCAGATCTTTTAAACGTTTTGCTTAAAAATAGATCAAATCTGAATCTCGAAGGAGGTCAAAAAGCCTATCCAGAGGCTGGATACTACAGGACCTGATCAGCTATGACGGGTCTATCCCGATAAACGGGTTTAAAAGGTGAGATAAATGACAATATACTCGCTGAATTTTACATACCAAGGAAGAGTATTAATCAATCTGTGCGTTATTGAATCAAGATAAGCAAGTTTATTCCAGTAGAAAGACTGCGCTTGAACAATTAGTATTACACCTTCTTGTAGCGAAAATTTGACTCCCGCACAGGATAATGTCGGTCCATTGTTATAAACGTTTAGGCATTCTTCCTCAGTCATCAAAGGCTCTCACAGAATTGTTTCGCTCAAATTCGTTGAATCTGTTCTTAAACCCTCATAACTGATCATTCTGGCCGAATTGTGGCCGTAATTTAACCACCTTTGGCAAAAATCATTTGTTGGGTGAAAATCTAAGTGGTCGCTGCTATTCAAGTTGTCGCTGTTTATACCAGAACATAGAGCAGAGCAAAGATCATTCCAAGTCTTGAGAAAAAGTTATTCATTAAACTAATGAAGAAAATTCCGGTCAAATATTCAACGAAGAACAAAAAGGGTAAAGTTTTTTATATTTTCCGTACTTTGTTTTAGCATGACAAGCGAGCTCAAAACTGCAGCTTTGGAATATTTTTACAATTGCCAATTCACATTATTAGTACAGTTTTTATTTCAAACTCAGAGCAACGAATGTCATTCATAAATAAGTTTACCTTATTTATTCGACACTCAGCGTTTAATTTAGGATGGCCTGAGATTTTTGCTTCGTTCTGACTTTTTTTTTCGTTTGGTCGAGCTTCTTCACGAATGAAATAAGATCTAGTAGGTAATTTGGTGTTAACAACTGAGTTGAAAACGTAAATTGGCCACCGTAAAGAGTAAAAAAGCTGACGCTTCGAGCGTTAGCCCTTCGTCAAAGCGATTGATGCATTGAATTATCTTCTATACTCTCCCACCGACGCAGCACCACAGTTTCTTTAGAAACTTACTCCCTGAAATAAGATATAGATTAGACATGTACTTGCCGCTAATTAACTCTTAATTCAACTCCAAACAAAAACATGCCTCTTTCTCGAATGTAAAAGTTCTGAAATCATTTTAATTTTTAAAGAAAAGCAATTTCGATATAATAAGTGACACCAGATGAGTATTTGAACTGTGGTTTTCTGATGGCGTGTCGAAGAGGGACAATGGATGCTTTGATTATTTCATGTGGAACTCTGTTGTATCTTTGAACTAAGTCAGTTTGTTAACTCAATAATTTTACCTGCTTCAGCACAGCTCAATCCCATTTGTATGACCGTGTTACGATTTTAATTAAGGGACGGTTGCATTTCTTTACACCGTTCCGTTTTTCCTAAATTTACATTTTCTTCCACAGGCCATGATCTCTTCGGAATAGCTACTTCAGGAAGGGAAGATTTTATTATTAACTCAGTTGATAAAACTAACACTAAAAACATTTCGCACCTACTTACATTGGCGTGCCTCCTTGCGGCATAAGGTGGGTTATATTGCCTTTAGAGTCATATCAATAAGCATTTGCTGCGATTACATATCTTTGAGTGAATTGTCACAAGAACGTTAAGTGTTTTTAACCCATGATAAAAAAGAGGGTGGCGAAGACTCGTACACCAAACAGAAAGCTAAACTTGAGACACTGAGGAGAGGATGGAGACATTTCGCGCTTGACCCGTCTGTTTTCTTGTAAGATATCTTATTTAGATTTATTTAGATTATCAGTGTAGCAATTGTCAACAAAACATTAAGAGGCTCTTCAATTAATAACTTAGAGTCCATGCAATATTCAGTCAACAATGAAATACCATCGTTGCTACCAAGAACACGAATACAAAAGCTTGTAATAAGCCCTTTTTCACTCATGAAAGTGAGCTTGAAAATCGTATCCAGTGTGTGGTTTTAAGACGAGGTTTGATCGCTCAGGCGTTGGTAGTTCTCTTAATTTTTGTGTCTTCTGTGCCTTCCAGTGAGGCCGTTGGCGTTACGCTATGGTGACTCGTCTCTGGTTCAGCTAAGAATTGATAGTTCGGATTAATCTTATTGATGTTTTTGTTTTGGGCCAACCTCTGCATTTCGACTTGTCATCGATTTGAGCGTAAAAGCTACATCGTCAAAAGTTCTCACATGTGAGCTTTACTCTAAACATATCCAAAATATCCTTTGAAGAAGAATGTAAATTGAAAGGAAAAAATTGAAAATGAAAAGAAAAAGGAAGACAAAACAGTTTAACGTGGAGAAAGCTCGAATATCATAGGTATATTCATTGTGCTAGGTACGCAGAGCGTACAAGGCGGCGAAGTTTTGTGTAATAACACATCTGACGCACATTTATTACATGTACCTATTCTAGTAATTTACTGCCCTGTCTCCAGCCTGTCAATTGACCAGTGTACAAACTCTGTTCTAAGCGAATCCTCCTTTTGACAAGAGCTGTTCATCACAATCCCTTTATTTTGTACCGTATTGTTTTTTTTTTTTCAGCAATACTCTACAGCTATTCAAGTAGGCACATGCAGTCAGAAATTAATAAGCGCAAGATGTCTTTTGTGAGAGATTATTCAGCGTTAATTGATTTCCGGTTGATTTTTTGCGATAAGTGACAGATGATTGAACAATAGGATCATATTATATATTTAAAATGAGAGAGACCAGAGCGAAAAGACAGAGAAGTCAGAGTTGATTTTATTAACGTGAAGTTTGAACATGATTCTTTGTCCGACACTTTAAATTTCTATGCTTTCGAACATCTTACTAGAATAAATCAACTGGAGTTTTTGATGGTCTGGTCTGGACTTGAGAAACATCACCCAAGAAAGAAAGAGTACTTATGATTCATTTCAGAAAGCTGTCTAACAAGTGTTTTTAGATAAATTATGGCGAACCTCTCAATACACACGTATCAAAATTAATATGCTTTCCAAACCCCTTATATATCACACCATTTAGGAATACAAACGATTTCTTGCATTTAGTGTGTTACGAGCAGCAAGCTTGTCAACTTTTGAAATTTTCGAAGTCGCAAGAGGTCAAAAAAAGGCCTTATTGAGAGCTCTCAAATTTTTTTTAAACGTATTCCCAGAAATCAATGTGGTTTATGGTTTTATTTACTTACTACCAAAGATAGGTTAACGGGCAAAACTTTTTTCCGATGTGAAACGCCTTGGACCGCTCTTACAGAGATCGCCACCTAATTGTTTTATGTTACGAGATTGAGTAGCGTGAGTGATGATTGATTAATTCACCTCTTCGGCGTTAGATTTCACTTGTAGTCTGACGTGACTCATTCGAACACAAGTGGACATTCGAACACAAGTGCACGATTTCGGTTCCTAAGTGTACTTCAAGAATGGTTATGACAAAGAGATGCGCTTATGGTAATTAAAAAAAAAAAAAAAAAAAAAAAGAAAAACGATTCCCGATACCCCAACTCCTGGGTAAGAGACACAAAGGGTGATCCGGTCAAGTATTTCCATTTTCCTTTTTTTCAATGATAAACTACTGTCCTATGAGCAGCACTGTACGAATTGAAATTGTAAATAATAGTTTATTCTCCCGCGCGTTTCGTCTGACAATGGGAGACTTCGTCAGGGAGTTTTAACAAGTCGGAAAAATAAGCTTGCCTATATCCACATAGAAAATACGATGTCTATTCTCGACCGTGAAGCAAAGTGTTAAGTAGCCAGCGAGACAAGCGCAAGGCGAGCGCGAAGCGCTAATCACGCGCGAGGGGAGAAGTGCGAAATGTTTTTTAATTCAGGTGCTCCTCCCCTCACGCGTGACTCGCACTCGGCGCTCGCCTCGTTCTTGCCTCCGTTTTGAATGAAAAACACAAAAAACTTACGCCTGTCCTACATGCTAATTGTGAAGCAAGCACAAAGTATCTGCAAAGTGTGACAAGGGTGGTGTACATGCGTGACATTTTTCGGACTTTACATGCATGGACGGGTACGTGGGTACGTGATGTGTCTAGGATCATAGATTAAGTAGTGGGCTTTGCAATTAGAGAACTTATCATGTCGAATTCAGCTCGACTGGTTTTCATAACAGCGATTAAAGCGAACCATGTGTTTTGAATGCAGCTTTCGGCTGGCTTTAATTGCTTAAAGTTCGCTAATCTCGAGTTTTGTTTCATAAGGAATATCAAGGACATCATTACACTGTACATATTCGCGTATCACATCTGAGGCACCGTTAAAAGACATGGAGATTGATAGATCAATGTTTCTTCGCCATAAGGCGATACCTCTACTTTCGTTGATTCAAGCAATCTTGGTCGTTCGTCTTGTTTCCTCCGAGACGGGTGAGTCAATGCAATTGTATTTAAGTAACCAATGGTATGTTTTAAGTGCTTTTTCTACTATAGTTCTCCAAAACGGACCTCATGAAGTCGAATGTTTCCGTGTCAGTTTCCGATGTCAAAATGCTAACTTGAGGCTATATCCTGTGTCTGGATTGAAACGCCTCTTTCTCTTATTTGTCTTTTAGTTATTCTAGATTCTCATTCTCGATACGACCAATCATGGGATTGGCTCACCACATATGAACTGGCGACTGGTAGCGGGGTAAGAAGCTTCTTTCAAAGTGATCTAAATGTAGTGGCTTAGTAATGTGGGATTCAATATTTGTGGTTTCAAGTTCCAGATTTAACCGGTGTCATTCATTTTGTTGTGATCTTGGGCAAGAAACCACAGCGTCACAGTACCTCATTCCGTCACAGGAGTATGCATAAATGGGCAGCTAGGAACTAAGAGGGAAACCTGATGAAGGTTGGATGAGATAGTTTATCATTCTGTCCAAGAGCACACAGCAATTTTCCTGGACGCTTCAAGCCAATGGGAATGGAATAAGCTTTGGCGGCAATGAGGTGGCCACTTGAAGCTGCAAGAATCTGGTCATTATGGTGGAATAAACGGTTTTAAGTCATTTTTTCTGTCATTTCTTTTTAGTGGGGCCGCAGTTCACAAACAGGAGAGTACCTCGTCTGTGATCTTCCAGAAACTGCAACGAAAAGCACCAACAGTTGGCTAATTTCAAATTTCATTGACCTGCAAGGCGCAGTATCAGTAACTGTTCAACTAGAATTCACTGCGAGACAATGTGACCGTCAGTCACTTCCTTTCTGCAAGGAATCATTCATGTTATATGTCTACCAAACAGACCAAAGGTTAATATCTGGAGTGCAGAAATCAACGATTCTGGCTGGACATTTTACGTTCGCTGCAACGATCGCTCCTATTCACGTGTGGAATTCTGCTCAGGCGAGAATAACAAACAAAGCAGCAGTTGGACTCACTGTTCAAAGCAAAGGACTTTATTTAGGATTTCGGGACATAGGAGGGTGTATCGCACTCGGGAAAGTTCAAGTTGTTTCCAACTTTTGTCCTGGGAAAATCATTGGTGGGGCAAGTTATAATAGAACCCCTTCTCCTCCAAATGGACATGCCGTCAAGGTAAATGGTAACTGTGCAGTAAACTCAGAGAGTCCGCATAACGCGAACACACTACACATGCAGTGTCAAAGCAATGGAACCTGGAATAGGCCAGCAAGTGCCGCTACTTGTCTGTGTAAACCTGGTTATCAAATCACTTCTCAGGGATGCCAAGGTACATAACTTGATCCCTATTATAATGTAGACTCACAATTAGAGGTATTAATTAAATCTAGAATATGTTGTAGTTCATCATGGCTATATAGATAAATGAATGTTTAGCCGTTTTGTCTCTCGATGTTGATTAAAGCAGTTAGTATCTTGACTCTACGTCCGAGGCAAACGATTAAACGTTTAAATCAAACATAGTTACCGAAAAACAGACAAAATGGACTTTTGGGTAACCAGACAGGCTGATAGGCAGACATCGATCGACAAGCGCAAGGACAGCAAGAAAGATAGACAGACCGGCTTGGAGACTGCAAGACGGACTGAATGACTACTGGTGCCCCATTTATACAACCAACCAACTAGAAAACCGTCAGCGAACAAACAGGAGACAATTCAGACAAACAGACAAAGAGATAGACAAGGAAACATGCAGACTGATAGAGAGAAATTGGAAGAAAAAAGCACGCGATATTTCTTTGAATACATAGTTAGGTTCCAACAAATTAATTTGATTATTTTCAATCAAAATTTTGCTCACAGAATGTCCTAGTGGAAAATTCAAACCCAGCCTAAGCAATTCAGAGTGCAGCAGCTGCCCGGTGAATACTAATTCCAACAACTCTAGACAGCAATGTGAATGCAATGCAGGATTTTATCGGAGCCCAAAAGACAAAAAAGAAGGAAAATGTACAGGTAATGCAAACGATATGTTGCTAGTAGGCACTATAATGCCTGGCATCTGTTCAGTTATGCTTTGCAAATGACATTGTGTTGGTGACAAAAAGAGTTTCAGTCACAGACCCACGGAAATATGAGATCGATTTGCTTTACACCTTAAATAGAAAAGTAAATAAGTATAACTAAAAACGCCTCCGTTTGCTTGATGATTGGCAACCCTTCACTCAAAATAACAACAGAAATCTTGTAATTCATCACTAATAAGTTGCGCGAAAGGCCCCCTTTCCCCTAAGACAATGTTGTATGAAATTAGTCGTCATTATGTTAACACCAGACTACATTGAATTAGGGAAGAAGGAGATATATGAAAGTTAAAGTAAGAATTTCAAAAGAAGTGGAACGTACCAAGAATGTTGTCGGATATTGTACATAGTCCGAAGTTTCCATTTGATTCTTTAAAAAAAAAAACAATCTTCCACGTTTTCTTTCATTTGCTTCAGCACCGCCATCAGCTGCAAGAAATTTATCAATAATATTTCAAGACCAATCCGTAATCGTTGTTGCTTGGCTGCCGCCTTTAGACAACGGAGGGAGAGAAGACGTCGTCTACGACATCAACTGCTTTCAATGTGATCCAGGTCCACGCTGCAGAAACAAGCAACTCTGTGGTGGGAAACTAGAATTTTGGCCAGTGAGGTTTAATAATCATTTTACGCATGTTACACTGACAGGATTACAACCCAACACATCATACATGCTTAGGGTTACTGCTGAAAACGGAGTGAGTTACTTGTATGGGCCTAGTCCGAGTAGGAATGCTGAGATTCAGTTTGGAACAAGGATTTCAGGTAACTATGCTGTATTCTTTTATAAAAAACTGCATAAAGTTTAGTGGTGAGCTAAGGCAGATTTCCATTATGGACAGAGTCTATATATAAACACTTAAATTAATTTGAACAAGAAAGTCAAGTTGCTATGCAGTCCTTTCTTTGTTTCCCAATAGATTCAAAATCTGATTTACGTCACATTATTGTTAAATCTCACTTGAAATCCTTGGTCAGGTTTGCCCTGTAGCATTCTCTAAGGAGTCTAGTTCACTTATTTTGATCTAATAGCCTGTTGAGAGTGCATGGTTATCAAATTTCTGCTTTAAATAAAATACTTGACAATAGTGCGGAAAATTATTTCCTTAATTCTATTCACGTATAAGGAGAGGTACTCTCGGCTGCACTCATTCGTTGATTTTCTGATACTGCTTAGCCCGTGTGGAAATTGCAACACAATGTAGGCATTGCCAACGAAATATACTCAATAAAAGTATGTCTCTTTTTATTACAGCTAAAATGCTTTTGGATAAGACCTATGTTGATGACACTACAGCTGTTCTAACATGGAATTCCGTGGATAATCCTCACGAGTTTTCAAGCTATGATCGCTATGAAATATCCTGCTTTAAATGTGATCAAGGCGGAGACAGTGTTAATCACCAATGTACAGAATCCTGTGGGGAAAAAGTACGGTATTGGCCGGGTAAAGAAGGGCTCAAGGACAACCACGTGACTGTGTCGGAGCTGGAACCATCCACACTGTATAAGTTTGTTTTGTATGTCTGGAAATACCGTACTGCGTTGTCTTCAGTGTTGATCGAGACAAGTGCTTCAACAGAAGTTTCTCAGGGTAAGATATTCAAGATATTTACCATTAGATTATAACTTTGGGAAAAGAGATCCAAAGAGAATAATCTAATGAGGTGCATAGCTAGCCTATGACCCGTAGGCCCAGATCTGCAATCTTTTTTCGCTCGCTTGACTCAGCGATATAACTCTTACAAAGGTTGAAACAAAAATTGGAATTTTTTTACGACATACTCACGAGTAATTAAATAACAAAGGAAAAGCAAGAATTAACCTCGTAACGTTAAAGCACTAGGATAGCACGTTTCCAGGTCTCTAAAAATGCCTTTAGCCAGTCAAAAAGCTGGATAGGGGCCTTCTAATTGTTTTGAAACAAATCTATCAATCGCTAAAAACTTGATGATGAGAGAGACTCATGATTAGATTAATTACTTTCCTCACCATCTATCAGGAAATAGACAGCCATTAGCGTCACCAGTTAGGTTTTTAATCGAGTAAATAATATTACTGTGAAACTCACACACTCAAAATGGCAGAGTTGCCTTTCAGTCACCTTTGAAAGACCATCTACAATCTGTCACAACCATTTTAGGCACCTTGAAGTATTCAAATTCTTTTAAAGGTGAGGAGAAATAATTCATAGTAACTTACAAATTCTTAACTGTATTTACTTCAGGTGGACAATTCTTTAACCTACCGACAATAATTGCCTTAATACTGGCAGGAATATTATTCATTGTTGCTGTGATTATATTGCTGGTCACTTGCCATCTCAGAAGACGCTGGTACAACACTGGCAAATCCGTGGGTTCAGATAATAATGGCTCTAACGAGGGTACTTACTCCATTGAAAATACTGACAACACAATAATTATGGAAGAAATACTACAGGACATTGACCACTCTACAGCGGGGAATCAAATGCGTTAAAAACTGCCAGAATGCAGGAATGGTTCAGCATCAAAGTTGAAGTGATTTCGTTGTTAGCCTCTAAATTCCCATGAGTGACCAAGACAGAATTTCTCCTTACAATATCAATACAATATCAAGCAGATAGGTGATGAGAATTAAGAAAAATTTCAATTATATTAGCTAATAGTGGATCAGTTTGTTGATCCAAAACCAAATTCTCCAAACTAACATCAAAAGAATTGTATGTCAGACAGTAGGAATAATTACTCACAAGATCTTGGGCAGACCAGGGGTTAATGATTTGTCTTTAGTTATCTATCTATAATGGGACTGAAGAGTTATTTTGTAAACAAAATTCGATATCTATTATATATTATTATATCTATAATCCCTTTTCTTTGTTGTTCTATGAATTGTTCTGCCATCAAACGCCGACGAAGCACGGCAGCACGATAAAAAAAGGAATTTACTGCGTTCGATTACAATAAAGTATTATTGATTTTATTATAGCTTAGACACTTGTTTATCAATTTGAAAACAATTTTAGCGTATATAGACTTGGAATATTGGCAACCCAAAGGATACCCTGGGTTGCCTACATTCACGCATTTTTTAGGGGTGTCCAAGTCTCCTGTCTAAATAACTTTAGACAGGAGAATTATTTGGCTATAAAAGTTATGCCAGATGTCCTAGCTACGGGGCATTCTTCCTTCACAAAATCAATGTCGGATTCAATAATGTGTTACTGTATTACACTTAAAATTATCATAGTTTTGACTTCAACTGAATATTGGACAGAAATTTGGTAAAAGTGAACGTCACTTTGACTTCTAGGGAAACAAAAAATCTAGCACTTTTCACTTATGCAAACAAGAAATGTATATTTGAGGGATCTTTGGTTTTTCTTCGATGTCTTTAAGGGCCGCCGAAGTAAAATTGATATATGTTGTTTTTACTCTCCAATAACTTCTTTGTTTCATTATCTGTATCAAAAACAGAGTAAAGGCGCCAGGAATACAAAACAAAAAAAAATGACATGTGTTTTCATTTCCTCAGAAGGAAAATTATTGCTTTATTTTGCAAACATAACATTACTTTCGGTCGAATTGGTTATATTTGATGCATACAACAGCTTTTGTTTTGTTTTGTTTTTTTTTTAACCAAGTCTGATTGCACCAAGTAACGCCATTATGATATGACAGCACCGATGACAACCCTTTATTTTAAATATTTTACCAAAATTAAAAATTCCACGAATCAATCACAAATTTTTTAACGTCATTTTCTTCAGACTACCTACATCGCTTTCCAGCCATTAGTGATTTCTGCACCTCCATCAAGCGATTCGACTGTAACCTTCCTAGCCCTAATATTGTTTGACATTAGTAAGAATTGCTTGGTTTTTTCTGGGAAAAATCTATTCCTCTTATTACTTAGTTATTTCTCAGTTTGAAAAGATAATTGCAAAATCAAAATTAAATATTTCTAGATCACTCTATTCACGGGAGGTATCTCCTCAATGGTGTTACTCCACCATGTGTCGCACGCCAGAAAACAGGTTCATTTTTTTTGTTTTTTGAATTTAAATTGTTCTTTCATTCCTTAGATGTACATGTACATGTATTATAGAAATGCTTATTTCTAGAAAAGAATCTACTTATTTAGCTTATCTTATGAGCTTATGGTCTCTTCAATGTGTTTCCACATCAACCCTGCAGTGAAACAAACTGGCGCCCTGATGTAGGGTCTCATAGTTATAGAAAAAAATAATTTTCAATCATCCTTCACCACTCACACATACGCAAATACCGGTTTCTCTGTAACAATTTTTTTAAACACGCTAAACTTGGCTTAAATAGAGTATAGAGGTGGGATGAACAACCAAATTAATTAACAACACATTCAAATAAATCTTTTGCAAACCACGTTTGTTGCCTCTCTTTAGCGTAAGAACCTTTCCAATACATTTCTGAACGAGATCCATTTTTACGAACTCTCCAGGTTTACAAAACTTGTAAAATATCTGCAGTCAAGAAAAGTTGCTAAAGGTATTTCGCAGATGTCCCCTTTCTGGTTATTTCGTACCAAGAGTTCATGCTAAGAGTTCATGCCCTCGCTCTCTAGTAGTGGATGATTGTCAAATTTTCTAACGAAAACCACAGAACAGCAAACGTTTATAACCTTTTCGAAACTTTTCGTTGAAAACTGCGTACAAACAAGGATTGAAAGCGCTATTGCTGTGTGCCAGAAAAATGCGCCAAAATCTTAAATAACATGGCACTGGATTAAACACAATTTGCGCAACAAAGTATGTCAACCAACAAAACAAAAAAGCGGCGGTGACCGTCAGTAGCATGTGTATTACCTTTCTGCTTGCTTTGTCTCGACTTTTCTTTACAAGCTTGGCTATTTCTTTGTCGCCAGGCACTTTTGAGCGCCTCAAGGTTACCACTATCACAGAATAAGAGGCGAGGATGACAGTGAATGGGAGAGCGTAGAAGGCAATTAAAAGGAAAGTGTAATAAATTTCTCTTGCGTTTACGCGTTCAAATGTTCTTGTAAGATTTGAAGCACATGTAAATTCGCCTCTTTCTTCGTGAAACGTTATCCTAAGTGAATAAAAGTAAGGAAAACGAACGGCCAAAGCAACGAACCAAACGAACGCGATAACAAACTTCGAAGATTTGACAGTGAATAGTTCCTGTTTCAAAGGGAAGACAATAGCAAAAAATCTATCTATGGCCAATGTCATCAGCGTAAGAATCGAAACTAAAATGCCGACGCCGTGTAAATATGGAACGAGTTTACATAGCACTGAGCCAAACGTGTCTTCCACCAGCCATTCACTTCCTCGTAACCACATAACAATGAGCCGTGGCATGTACACCAGAGTGATAATCAAATCTGTAGCTGCCAGGTTCACAATGAAACAGTGAAAAGATTTTCGCATCGTTCTGTTACGCCGCACTACCATAATTGTCATGGTGTTACCCAGGGCTGATACCAAAATAATAACACAGTAAACAGCGACTCTTGTCACTCGTATGGCCGTGCTATTGCGATCGAAGCAACCTTCTTCAGAAGTAATGTTATGTACCGGTCCATTTAAGTTTGCATCGTCGAAAAAATTGTCAAGTGAGAAGTTGACCATAGTGAAACTTGAAGGACAGAAAGCTCACGTTTTTTTGCTCCTCAAAAGTTAGTCTCTTAATCCGACTTCAAGGTTGCAAGTCAACTAAAAGTTACCTTCAATTTGTAATAACATCAGCTTATCACAATGGACTTCCCTGACTTAGGCGGTAATGATTTGATTTGTTTGTGCATGCATTTTACAAAGATTAATTCGTTACTTAAAGTAACTTCCTTTTGTCAATACATTGTTTACAGTCATGAGAAAGATATTAAGCTAAAACTAATATAATTTTTGACTCAAGATAAATACGAAATTTCGTGCATGACACAGCTGTTTTGTAAAAAGTAGACAGTAACTTCGAAGTGCATTTCACTTATCAGAATTAAGCCGCAAAATAAATTTTCGAAACGTTCGGTGAGAAACTCTGCTGGATTGGTTTGATAATTTGTATTTCTATAGGTGTTATCAGAGCGTCTATTGAAAGAGCCTGTGGCGCCGAAAGTTCAACAAAAAGGCTATGAATTTTAAGTGGAGAAAATTTCGGGCCTTCAGCACCCAGTCGCCTTTGTCCTTTGTGTATCGGGTTACATTAATTATCATTTGGATTTTTGGTGGATTTTCTTATGACTCGGAAGTGTTTTATTAAACGGAAATTGTACTTGAAAAGTGTCACCCTTAAGTGCAAATAATAAGGGTACAAAAGCAAAGAGAGAAATATCGCTCTCTTAAAAAAAAATAAGAAAAGGAAAAGATACTAAACGGTGACTCAATTTAACAATGCGTTACCTAACAAAAGCAAGTTTGGCTTACACGAATGAGTAATTCATCTCATTGCTGTTGCTTTATTCTAGCCTCCATGGCCACAAAACTTTTCAATTATTAATGCATTGTACTTTCTAGTCTATTATCATGTAAATGTATCTCCTTTTTTTTAGGTAATCGAGCTCCCATCTGGCCTCGTTTTGAAAGAGAGGCCAGATAGCCACTAGACATGAGTAATTAGCTTTCACTGCACTGATAGGAAAATCTTTTGAATAAAGGATAGATAACTGTATATATCCTCTAGACAAAAAAAAAAAAAAAGGAAAAAAAATCGCATTTTATATTTTTTGTAAAAAACGGGATGAAGTTTGATTTAATCAACAGTGCCTTCTTTAATATCCTAAACCACACGTGTAAAGATGTTACGTTTGGGTTGGTAGGACTTACACGGTATGATGCAGCACCCAAAAAAATAAACAGATTTAGTTGTAATCATTATGGATGTTTTTTCATAATATTAGGAGTTTATCATTATGATTTTGATGAGAATGATCCAGTTAACTGAACTTGAGCCCCCCTAAGCATAAAGGACAGTGATACGAAGGAGAGTTGCATCTTAAGGCTTACACCTGTACGTTACAAGCCGTGTACCTAGGTTATTAAATAGGAAAATTTCTTAATTTAAACGCTATGATTATGAAAACGAAATCATTACATGCTCGTGGGGTTGTGTGTAACGAGCTAGAAGTGTAGGTAATAACATGATTTCGAGTGCAATTTGGTGTTAATAAGGACGAATGAATTTTTCAAAGATAACAAAAAATACACGAACCCGTAGAACAAGAGCAATTTGTAGTCTTTGAAAAATGTACAAGACATTATTAAACCAAACTGCAAGAGAAATCATGTTATCACTTGTTAATAATGTACACGAAAAAAATATTACAAAAAGTCAAGACAGACGAAATATCGAAAGCCCGCGCGCTATTGGTAATTTGAACTCTTATTACAACTTTTAACTCGTGCTACATGAAAAGGAATAAAGGGGATAATTTTCTAAAGAAACTGTGGTACTGCGTCGGTGGGAGAGCATAACAGGATAATTTAGTGTTATCAATTGAGTTGAAAACGTAAATTCCTCCAATCGCTCTGACAAAGGGCTAACGCTCGAAACGTCTTCAAACTAAGGTGGCCAATTTACATTTTCAACTCAGTTGATAACACTAAATCACCCTGTTATATGAGAATGTTTTCAGCTAATCAAAAGCGCGTAATTTTTTCATGTACATAATTACCAAAGTAACCTTTAAGTAAAAGTAGATAAAGTATATGAAATAAACAATCAGATTTAAAAGTTATTTTCATGACAATACAGAAAAGAATTTTATAATTTAAGATATTTCATAATTCAAAATCGGACATCTTCATCTTTGAACAAAATACCCGTTTATTTGAGATTATTGGAAAGAATGGAAACTCATCATTTCTCTATGACTCCAAAGTAGATAACAAATGTTACAAATGTTATAATATCTTTCGCCCAAATTTATTCGTTTTATTTTGCTCATAAGGGACCCAATTTTAAAGGCCATTCAAACGGTTTTTGTTTGGTTTCTTCGCCTTTGAGTTACATCTCCATCATAAGCGGAGCTCGCAGTGCGATCGTAGCAACATACTTATAAGAAATAGTAATTGAAGTTCACATACTCGAGTGCCGAACTCAAGTGCAGCGTATCGCGGGCACACGGTTAGGCATTTCACCAGGGCTTCACGAGGGCTTCACGAGGGCTAGAAGATGTGAAGGCGCGCAAGCAGATAATTTGCAACCCGCATTTTGAGCGGGAAATCAAACTGGTGAGGTCATAGTTGAACAGCTATTCTAAGTATTTTGCAATTTCTAATCAACTCGAAAAACAAACAATTCCGGCAGAGCTAAAGCTTTGTCAACTGGAGGAAATTATTATAATTCAAGTTCGTGGAGAAAGGGTTTTGAGTGAAAGCAGGCTGGAACGAGAGAGAGAGAGAGCGACCAAAAAGAGCAAAAAGAGAAATGCGAAGAGCGAGTCGAGAAATTGAAACACGAGAGAGAGTTAGAAAGGACGCTAAAATAAGGCACAACACGGTGTGAGGAACTCGAAAGAGGAAAAGAAAAAGGCTTAAGTAAAAAAGAGAATATCTAGCTAGCGAAGAGCAACTTGAGAAGGAAATACAAAGAGCTCTAGAAAACAGACTGAAAAGAGGTCATTACTGAAAGAAAAAGCGAACTTCAAAGGATCCAAGAAAGAAGAAGTGGTAAGTTGAGTCTTATTTGGGTTTTCTTTTACGCTAAGACTTAGGAAAATTCAAACATTTTTTCACTAATCATTTTTTGATACCAGCTCCAGTGTATAATTCATTGCTGTTTAGATGAAGACAAGAAATTTAAATATAGTTTCGGTAAAATTTTGGCATTCGTCGCTTTAACACCCTCGTGCCGGTTGATCACCCGAATTATATTTCAAACTGTTCGCATTCTTAAAATTATTTCTTGCCTATCGTTTTCAGGGTTTAACACAGACGTTGTGTAGGTTATCTTTCGAATTATTTTTTGGCTACAAAGTTTTCAAATCATAACAAACGGCGTAAGCAAGTTGGTATCATTCTCTATTTAATTAACTATCGCATGGCTTACTTTATTCATTAAAAAAATTCGGGCTCTGTCGAAGATGTGTGGTTTAACCCGTAGAATGAAATAATGGCTTTCCAAAAAATCAAAATAGAATGAGATTGAGTCAGTGATATTCATGAATACATCAAGTCTGACGGGCTAATTAGATTTTGGCAATATTGTCATGTGTCGATCATTTGAAAACCCGTGACGAACCGCGAATGCGTGATGCAAACAAAATCCCGGGTCGCACTTTCAATCAAGAGTAAAGCGTACTTAATGTGCTGGTTATGATGAACATGTGTGCGATCGATACGATACTTTTTTCTAATGCTGGAAACTAAGGAATCAATCTCTGAAATTGTCATCACGTTTTGCAAGAAGTGTCCGAGCTTTGATCGTGTATTGAAACGGGGTCCTGGCATTGAGCTCTCTAGCAGGCTGGTACGTACATGGTTAGCGTATTTAATTGTTGCTTACAGTTTTTTAGTTCAAGAGCTGTTTTTGAGAATTCACGAGTCCGTTTCTGTAACCTTCCTGGATATTTTTTGTTGAATTCACTGAGTTACAACCTCGGAACTTCATAAGCGATTAGGAACAATGTATTCGAATCGACACCACCATCAAAAAATATTTCTGGCAGCTTTCTGAAGACATTTTCGACGAGTTTACAGTTCATGAACCATTTCTGTGACTTGCTTTGATATTTTCTTTTGAATTATTTGAGTTACACCCTAGGAATTTCATTAGTGAGGAAGAACGATAAATCCGTCAATTTTATCACAAGTAAAGCATATTTTCAAATTATTAAATGTTTCATGGATAATTTGGCATACTTCGTTGATCATTTGATTAATTTGTAGCCTAAAAAGCCCCATAGAACTCAGAAGGTAATAAACTTGCCATATTTGAGAAACAAGGCACAATTTTACGACCGTATATTGCACCCGGTTTACATATGTAGACAACTACACGATTATATAATTTCCATTATCACCAGGATAGCTGTAATCAGAAGCATAGACATGTTCATGTAAGTTATATGCCACTGTTTTATTTGATTGTAATGTGTTTCTTTCTATGTAGCATATATCCATTCCTTTAATTCCCCCCTAACCTGCCTGTAACTAATTTAAACGTGTTTAATTAAAATATGAGAATAGTTGCAGAGTTTTCTGTCCAGATTGAATTTAGGTGAGCACAGGTGTCAGTAAACTACTTATTGCCATATTTTTCTCCTGAATCTGTAATTTTATTGCCCTTGTTTTTCTAGAGAGCCTCTTTTATATCTCTCTGTGTGCCAGCCAATGATTAAAATCTCAATATAAAGATATGCCATATTTGAACAGTTTTTTAGAATTCCATCTTTAAGTTCTTGGTATCTACTCTAGGAAAATTCATAAATGGCATTGCTTTTTCATTTAAAACCTGAATTATGTTCTACAGTCAAGTTAATGTCAGTGAGTTTGAAGCTTCATTCTACACAAGAACACTTTCTTTCTATGCTTTCTTTCTCATACATATGACTATACATGTCTTAAAAAGGGGAATTTATTTATATTTTATTGATTAAAATATACTTACTGTATGTTTCAAATATGCGAGTAAC